CGTCCCATCCCTAGTCAGGGACAGCCCCTATCATTCATCCACCGTGTGTCGTACCTGTGTGACTGAACCTGAAACCCACTCATCACTGAGAGCATCGAGACAGGACAGGTTTACCCGCTCTCGCTGACAGAAACAGGAAACTGTGGCTGCAGCAGATGTGGTCACATGACCAGGTGGAAGTCTTAAGAGAGAGAGTGAGAGAAAGAAAGAGGTGCTCTAGCCTGTAGCTCTCTGAGGATGGTAAGTTTGTATTGATGTCTTGCTAATTGTTTTATTTGAACATTATGATGATCATTTATCAGATCTTCTTTCTTTACATTCATGTCTGTCATCATTTAATGACCATCTTGTTGTGTTGGAAAAGTCAATGGGGTGCAGCACAACATTCATTGTATTGACTAAAACTTTCTTCAAAATATCTTCATTAGTTTTCATGGAAGACAGAAAGACATGCAAGTTTGAAACCACATGATGACAGGATTGTTTTGGTGAACTGTGATCTAAAGGCGCATGCTAAAAGTCAATGTTAAATGCTGCTCGCAGCCATTTTTTACTTCTGTAATGTGATGCACTTTCGAGTGTAGCAGGATGTTCAACGAGACAAAAAAAGTAGAATGGGACTTGCTGTTATTGAATGGAATTGAACCAGAACAGAGCCAGCTAAAATAAAATAAGTGTTATTTATTGCGCTATTTTTCTAATTATTTATGTATTTGCTTTGAAATGGAGCTTTTAAAGGTGTGGATTTTTCAGGCAGAAGCATCATTGCAATCAGATTGTTAGTAAAATACACCACGAATCAAGTTAAAAAAATTACGCCATGCTTTCTTGTTTTTACTAAACTAGTGCAGTGCCCGTGCAAAATCAGTTATTAGTTCAGAGCATAATTGCCAGTTTTAGCATTGAGATCAGGCTATGTTTGACTGGTTAACTACTATCCAGTTAACGACTGATAAAACAACGTCAAGCACAACAAAGGAGAACACATAAACGGCTAACTTGGTTGTTTCAAAGATGAAAAGTAAGCATGGCTTACACTGGAAAGATGGGGATTTGCCGTCACGATCGGTAAGAGGAGAGTTAACTTTGTTTAAGCCTGCATAGCCTACATGAGGTATCCTGTTGAATGGGCAGGGCAACTGTTTAACATAGCATACTCAAAGTTACAGTAATAACTTAGCATTGAGACCAGGCTATGCATCAGGTCACAGGTTCGCGTTTAAAGTCTGTTTAGAGAGAACGCCGTCGTCTTAGTGGCCCCTAATGTAATAACAAATGATAATTTTGCTGGAAGTGAATCAATCAAAACCAACTTTAGCTGGAAATAACATTATTCAAAAATCGCTATAAAGCCAAAACAATCTCTGTTACTGTAAATTGTATGTTTATCTCTGTAAAGCTGCTTTGAAACAATCTCCATTTTTAAAAGCGCTATATAAATGAAGATGACTTGACTTGAGCAAACAGTTTGTGATTAGGCTACTACAAATGATGGACGTGAAAGAGACTGTGAACGCATTGAATAGAGTGCAATTTCGTAATAAAAAACCTATCTGGCATTCATGATTTATCAGCATTATATCAAATATTGAATCTTCAATTTGTCTTTCATTTCTACAGATTTCTTGTGTTTTCAGTTTTGTTTGTTTTTTGTTTTCTTTAGTCGGCTCTTTATTGATAATTGGCCATAGCATGAAAGTAATTATCAGCTTAACCATATCGACTAGAATATTTATATCTGTGCATCCCTAAAAACATTGTGTTGTTTTTTTGTGTGCGTTAGAGTGAAAGCTAAGCATCATCAAGTGTCCAGTATGTCAGCCTTCACTAGTGTTAACAAGTCCAGAGTGAGCAGAGCCGCAATCTAGACAAAACAAGACGTTTTTATTTGTTTCAGATGTTTTGGCCACTAAATATTCTCAAAATGTGTTGCTCTCAAATGTGAGAAATTCTCACAGGTGATATTTACGTGTTAGTGGTTTCATCTTTTACATTATGCAGGTACTATTCTATACCATGTAAACACACATTTATCATATATCTATGGACTGGTTGTGCTTTATCGTTAGTAACAAGTTCGAAAGTGCGAGAAAAAAGGCTACAAGATTTACTGCAGACGTCTAGTAAAATCATCACAGTCGTGTCTTCATCTAAACGAACACAAGTCCTGTGGGAATTGGAGCGTTTATTCAGTAGATGAATGTTGAACACACTCCTTCGCCTCAGGCCTCACCTTCCGCTCTAATGTACAGTCGCTCCGCTGAACGATTTGATCCATTTCATCTCCTTGATCTTGCAACATCCATGTAGTTTCTGTTGTGGAATATGTTTGGATTTTGAACCTTCACACAAATACTCAAGCGAAACCAATGCTTTTGAATGAATGCCGTTTGTGTTTCGACACATTTTGGATGCATGAGATTGAGCTCGTGTGGCTAGACGCATGTGTATTCACATACTTCAGAGTATATTTCTTCGTTTGAAGAGAACGAGTGAAGAAAGTGTGTGTGTGTGCTTGTGTTTGAAGCACCTGCGGGCCCTTTGAGGTTTATAGAGTTTCTCACCTGTTGATTAAAGACATCAGCAGCTGTCAAAGAGTGTCGCCAATCACTCTAGTTAAACCACTAATGTGTGTGTGACTGCACTGATTCAGATGTGTACTCGAGTGTGTTCGGCATCTATTAACTCACAGACAGCAGTAAAACTCACACCAGCCCTCGTCATACTGAACCAAAGAGACTTTTATTGTTCATCATAAAGTTAGCAGACAGCGTCACGCTGTAGGACGTCAAACATTTGATTGATTTCATGCTTGTTTTTAACATTGATGGATGATAATGTCAATGTGAAATCAAATATTTTCTTAATGCATAATTATTTTGAAGAAATTATCTTTGACGTCATTTATCAAAATATGTTAATTTACTCCAACTCTGAAACGATATCATTAAAACATTAAGTCAAGTTAGGTTTTAAGTGATGCAGCCTTTTGAAAATGTTGCTAATTGTTAATGCTGTAAATGTAATGTGAGTTAACAATAATGCGGTTGAGATTACAGAAATGATAGATAAATTAACAACATTAAATAAATTCCTGATGGATAAAATAATGTGTTGTCTCAACGAAAGTCCTGTTCACCTTAGACATCGCGCCGAAATTTTAAGTGCACGTATTATGCCATTTTAAAGGTTCTTGGTTTGGTTTTGGAGGTTTCCTGCAATTGTTTTACATGCATCCTAGGTCAAAAAACACTTTCATTTTCTCATAAAATACATTGCACATCACCTCATTTCTCAAAGAGTCTGAAAACGGTCCGTTCAAAGATAAATGCTGCTATTCATTTGCCTTCTTATACTGCGCCCTCAAATTATGTACTGTTTTTGTGAAGAAAAAGTAGTGTTTAGCAGAGGAGTCATAATTGCGTCTTTAACGGACAGCTCTGTCGCTTAGTTACGTGCATCCTGTCACTGCTTAAATTGCCCAGTCAATCATCTTGTCACAGTTAAAATCCTTCACGTCCAATTTAATTTAATTTCACACCGTTTCTGAGAGAAATGTAGTGGCATATTGATCTGCCAGTCGTGGGTCTTTCATGCAGAGACTCTCCTCATGGGTTTGCTGAATGATGCATTTAAAAGTTAATGACCAAACGTATCATTACAAAAGTTCACAATGCTGTTGCAGATTCAATATAATGTGGATAACACTCAATAAATGTCTTTTCGTCAGGTTAGATACTGATTATTAACCACTCAACCCCCTTTATCTAAACATGTCTACTTAACCGTCGGACTCGTACATCCGCCATGTTTGTAGTTTTTACACCTTTCCCCCGTGTTTGTAGTTCTAATTGAATCCTCGTCCAGCGTGCAATGGGTTATGGGCAATATTAGCCGTTAGAGTGTCCACGGACCTTCGGAGTATATTTTGAATACTCATTTCAACATACTATTTCAGCTCTGTATCTTCCTCAGCACTTGACACATAGTGATACGAATACTGTCTTCGGTTTTTCCGTATCAATTCCAGAGCGAGTCTTCATCCTTTTGAATTGCACTGCTGAAAACATGTCGACACACGAATCAAACTTTTACAGTCTCCGCTACAATTACAGTGTTTGAGGGTCACAGTAGACCCTGGGCAGCCAATCAAGACCATAGGCTGGCATCATGCAAATGTCTTACGGAGGCATGTAACAGGAAGTGAGACTGAAATTACTGACGACTCATTTCAGCATTTCAGAATCGGATCTTTCTTTTAGGAGGCAATAACTTTGATCTTTACATTCACAAACAGCTATATTACACACGGCATGAAAGGTAATATTCAAAAAAGCATAATGGGGCACTTTCATGTTTTTATAAAGAGGTAAAGGCTTATAAAGCATTTGCAATACATATTTAATATGCAATACACTGTAAGCTGTGATCTTAAGCTGATCCATGACACCATTAGCACTAATGTGCTAGCTGCTGTGTCACTGCGCCTCGGTGTGTTTTATGCCGTCTGTGTCCATGCAGATTTACATTATCTAAAGCAAGAAAAGAGAAATATCACAAGCAATTTATGTATGACACACGTCAAGCCAACAGTACTCAAAATGCCATGTTTCAAGACTAATCTAAAGATGTATAGAAGCTATAAGAGATGTCAAAATTGAACATTTTCAGTAATTTCATTTATAGAAGCGGTTCCGAGACTCTTTTTTTCATCCAAACCCCTTAGACAAAATATTTACTTGAAGCCCCCCTGAGATTTTAATAATAATAATTATTTATATCAATAAATATATTACCGTTGTGAATTACAATTGTTCTGTGAAGCACCTCGATTTATTGGAAAGACGGTTTAGCCAAGTAATATTTATCCTACTAGATATTACCTGATAATAAAAATCAGGGACAGTCCCATGGCACATGCATCTCATCCAGTACTGACATTTCAGTCTGCGCATCGAGTCATTTAATTGATTTGCTCCCTCATTGCTCTCTCCTGATAGGTGGATAGTTGTGGGCGTGTAATAGAGGGTGTGGCCTGTATAAAGCAGGCGGGGTGTAACGGTGAAGCAGACAGTCGGGTTTCTGTGAAAAACCTGGAGCGGGACGACTCCTCCCCTGACTCCACCCACAGGAACAGCACAGACACGCCCCCCGGAGCAGACGAAGACTCCGCCCCTTCCACTCCACGGAAGAAACGAGGACGACGGAAACTTGAGCACCCGGAGCGACGTGAGTCACCCGTCTCTTGTTCAGTCAGTCTGATCGATTTCAAATGTCCTTTCCTTCCGAAATGTGTCAGAAAATACACTTTATAATGCGATAAAATCGATATTGCGACGTAACTGATTCTGACGGTTGCTATATCGCCCCCTTGAGTACAGCCACATTAATGCAGGACCGCATCAGTGCGCCAGCCAAGCATATGTGTCTGTTTCTGCCATTACAGGGGTCTGTGTTTTTCTTTTAGTGTTGTTTTCCTTTAAATGACCTCAGTGTTTGTCTTTCAGACGTGGGGGAGGACGACACCAGCAGCGACACCAGCAGGGCAGAGGTGAGGAGACTCAATATACAACAAAACAGTCAAATAAGGAACATAATACAATTTGAGAATCACATTTTCTCATTTAATGACTATATAATTATAAATACAAATTTTAACTATTATTATACTGTTATATTTCATTGTAAAATAAAAATATGTACGTATTTAGGCAGAAAATGAATACAGTTATCTACAGTTGTACAATTTTTTTGCTTTCAAACCATCAAGCTTTTATTTTGGCGGAAAACCGCAGGAAGCCTTAAAGCTACTCTTTTGTTGATGATGATTTTAATGCGCTTTCTCGTTACAAGTTTGGTAAGATGGTTGGCAAACCCAAACCCAAATTCTGCCAACCGAGACACTGAATACACCGGATGAGCATGAGCTGCTTGTGTGTAAAAGAACACAGTGCTTCGCTTCACTTTAAAACACACAGCGCATATATACAGTATATATTTGATAATCACTGCGATTTCATTTTTATTTCGATTAATTGTGCAGCCCCAGGACTACATAGAATCCATTAGATTTGCTTGGAAAACTTGTTAAACTTAAACTAACTGGTTATCTGGACCCAGTCGGGTGGTTCAGACAGGTCTAGTTAATACATCACAGATTGATTGATTGATTAATCCACTCTTGCTCGACATAGATCACCGGAAATAGACGACATGTTCACCAAGAGCATGAGAATGGGCCGATGGAGCGTTCCAGGCTGTTTATGTGAGAGACATTAATGTGTAAAGCCGTAACTTGGCCCGAATAACGGCTGTAAAGTGGTAACACGCCACTGAAATGTGTTTACAGGCTGTTGAACATACGTTACGGGTGTTTTATTAGGGCTGTGTACAGACAGCAATTCACAAATGTACACAGAGGGAAAAAAAACGCCTACACAATGCAAATCAAGGCTTTGCAAAAGTCACTTTCTTATGCATCAAATGAGTTTTATTAGCTTATCAGTGTCACCAGACACATCTAACGCTCATGAAAGCTGGAGCTATTTGAGTCTGTCATTCACAAAAATTCACAATGTGTGCATTTCCAGAAAACTAGGTTTAAGAGAGTTGTGTTTGTCTTGGGTTAATATTCAGTAATTTTATTGATTTTCCTGCACTGACACTATCGGATGAGAACAAAACTTAAACTGAACTGAGCTGCTTGATGACACCATTGACTTAAATAGAGCTGGTTTATAGCTGAATCGAATTTGTTTCATAATTGATGAAATTTGCATTGAACTTTTTAAAATAATTTTGATGAACTATGGTTATTGAACTGAACCGAATCAACACTGAACTGACTCGAGCTGAATAACGACACTATTCTCCTTTTTATAGAGCTGCTTTACAGTAGAATTTGAAGTTTTGCTTTTTTCCTGTTTATTACCGTGAAGTTGCTTTGAAACAATCTGTATTGTGTAAAGCGCTATATAAATAAAGGTGACTTGACTTGTAGAGCGAAGGGGGCCGTCTGAGGGGCCGGCGGGGCGGGGACATCAGTCTGAGGAGACGACCCGTACAGAGAGAGACCTTCCAGGCCGGAGATCCCTTTCACATCAGCCGCAGGGAGAAAGAGGAGTTGCTCGCTTTCTTGAGGAAAGAGAAGGTGAGAGAGACAATGGCTGCATCCGAAATAGCAAACTTCCCTACTATATAGCAGGTGATAAACAGTATGTGACAAAAGAAGTATGTCCGAATTCACAATACTCATAAAAGAGTAGGCGAAAAGTACCCAGGTGACCTACTACTTCTTCTGGCGAGATTCTGATGTGTTGATATGATGGACACTTTACTATCCCATGAGGCCACAGGAGAGGATTTGTGAATGGCAGTGAAGTGACGCTAGTAGGTCACATGATAAGGAAAACATGGCGAATGTAGTACGTCAGGCTTACATTCACACTATATAGAACATGCTGTTTTAGTTATTGCTTAGTCAAAATAAGTACTTACTCTAGAGATGCAAGTTCGGACGCAACCAATCAGACTGATTTTAAAGAAGTGTCAGTACAGTACAGTAATGAACATCATTCATGGTGTAAACATCATTTACTGATAAATAAGATTGACTTGTGTATTGCTTATACTGTTAAACTGTACCTTACTCAAGTAAATGATTTTATCGTGGTAGTTAGTAATGTATGAGTAGTGAGTAAATGCATTTTATAGATCTTATGGTGGGAGTTTCATCTGACAGTGCATACGTTTATTTTTCTTTTTTTTGACCTTGTAATTAATCAAAATATCATAACTCGATCTTCCAGTTAAATGACAGACGTCTCTCTGGTGACGTATGCAGGACTCCTCTAATCATTTAGTCCGCATAAACCCGCTCCTTTCTTACCATCCACTGCATTTTCTTTCTTCTTCGATAATCTGTTTCACTCGAGTGTACGTCACAATACGGAAGAAAAGATCTGTTACTACTTGCATTATATTGTGACTTTAATGTAGTGTGTTTTTTGCCCACGGTTTTGTGCACAAGCAACATGTCAAAAATGGACATTATTCCACAAATGCAGTCGAACTTAAAGGGATATTTCACCCTAAAATTAAAATGAAGTCATCATTTCCTTTCTATTATGGACCACGAAAGACATAAAAATGTCCCGCTCGCTCTCGTCCATATAGTCCATCAAGCTTTTTAGAAAAACACAAAAGTATCAGAGAATGGTCCCATGCGACACACGTGCCGTTTATTCCAAGTGTTCTGGGGGTATACGATAGGGTTTGGTGAAAAACAAATCGAAATTGAATGTATTTTTTAACAAAATTCTTGACCTCGGCCGACATGCTCGTTCATGAGACTCTATTAGCGCCGCAGTTCACTCCGACTCGTCCAGAACAAGCACAAAATGTAAAAAATCAAGATTAACAAAAACACGACATGAAATACGACGCCTAGAAATCCCAACAAACTATCCGAGTCAAATATCCCCGGACCGGAACTACGTTTGTCTGATCAGTTGACACAGATGTAAACGTGAAAACGTCTTCTTGTGAGGACGAACACAACAGATATATTCACCTCTCAGAGAAGAAGGTACATGGTGTATATTCCATGTTGCTAATTCTAATTCTAATTCTTTTGTGGTCCGTAAAAGAAAGAAGGCCATACAACATCAAAACAGCACTAGGGGTGAATAAATGATGACTTATTTTAGAGTGAACTATCCCTTTAACTTGTATTGAACACGGAACATTCCTTTAGAGACAAAGAGGGAAAGTTTTGAATCGCTGCTGTTGAGGGTTGAGATGATTTGAGTTAAAGATGTATGGAAAACTCACATCCTTACACCTAAGGTGCCGAATGATACAAATGAGTGTGTTTATGAGAAATGGAAAACAATTTAGTAAATTGTTGAGAGGTACAGATCTGAAACTCTTGAGTTGAATGCATACTGTTCTGTTGTGTGTGTGTGTGTGTGTGTGTGTGTGTGTGTGTGTGTTTTGTCCAGTGAAGTGAGTGGAAAGTGAACATCAGTGGAAAGTCAGTTGGGTTGGGTTCGCTAAAACACTGTCTACTTGCCTCACTGTGTGTGTGTGTGTGTGTGAGCGAGTGTTTGTAGTAGTAGAGTGCTCGGCCACATTGTGAGGCCCTGTTTCCTGTAGAGGTGTGTGCTGTGTAAGTGTGTCGAACAGGCACTCAAACCAGCTCTGAAGTGTCTGTGTTAATGATATATATTTTATTCCTGTGGCGTTTTATTAGTTCCACCATTTACTTCCCATTCAAATAAGTCTCAAACATGTAAGTAGTATGTTTGATATCGTTTTTTGCATTCTGACAGGAATGGTTTATATATTTACATATTTATTCAAACATACTTATCAGTTATCTCACTAACAAAGTGTAGTCTTGACCAACCACAGTTCGCTTTGTAGCTTTTTACACTAACGTTCAAAAGTTTGGGGTGAGTAAGATTTTCTTTTTTTAAAGAAATTAATTCTTTTATTCAGCAAGGATGCATTACATTGATCAAAAGTGACAGTAAAGATGTTTATTTCAAATAAATGCTGAACTTTCTATTTATCAAAAATCCTGAATTTTTTTTATCACCGTTTCCACTAAAATATTAAGCAGCACAACTGTTTTAGCACAATAATATGACATGTTATTATAAATCAATATATTAGAATAATTTGTGACACTGAAGACTGGAGTAATGATGCTGAAAATTCAGCTTTGCATCACAGCAATAAATTACATTTCAATATATTCAAATAGAAAACAGATTCTAATTTGTAATCATATTTTTACCATTTATTTTGCAAATAAATGCAACCTTTTTCATTCTAGTTCTAGTACCTAGTTTATTTGCTACTAAGTGCCTCAGAGAAATAAACCTGGCAATCTTTGGCAAATCCAGCAACTAGTTCTTCCTCAAAAGCGCTCGTTTTATCTTCACTTTGTAAACACGGCTTTGTCTCCTGTCAGACTGATGAAAACCGGTGCACCTTGACTCCTTGCATAAAAGCCAGCCAATCAGATTTTTGTGTTCAATATGCATCAAACAGACTCTGGGTGGCCCTTTAGTACGCCGTAAGACTGAAACTAGTCTAACCTATCTATATGACAATAATTCTGCTCTCTAAGTTTTTGTATTCAGGATTTCACTCCACAGAAAGCTCCTCCGATTTACTTTGAATCATAAATATACACCCTTGTGTGAAATATTTCGGCTAATATAATCATGTTTTCAGCTACCAATTAGAGCATAGTGCTCTTAGCTCTGTTTTAACCATGTTATACGTACCTGGTAATGTTAGTTATAATGCTCCAAACAACCCTAGGAACTAGATAACAAAGATTGTCTGAATGAGTGTTTTGTGTCATGAAGTATTAAAGTGTTTATCCGTGTCCTCGGCTCACCCATCGAGGGCTGTTTCTCTTGGGTCGGGGAGACTCCACCCACTGCAGCCTCTGGATCTCATCAAACTCTGGCGCAGCTTCAACAAGACCTGATTACAAACATGTGTGTGTTTTAGAGAATCGCACATGGTGTGTGAAGCGGTTTAGTTTATGTAGACACTATAAAGAATAATGTAATTACTTGCAATAGTGTTTTTCATTTGTTTTCTTAAAGAGTTTCCTTTCTCTGTGTGTGTGTGTGTGTGTTTGTCTCTTTCTTTAACAAGGGTCATAAATCGTGGCTTAATTGAACCTTCCCGCCTTTCTCAGTATCAATGACAGTCGAAACGTAAAATTCCTTGCAGCAAAGGAATCACACACTATCAAATCTAAACCTGCACAAACACTCGCTCTCTTTTCTCTCTTTTTGTCTGGTCTGCGCTCCGCTCTCGTTCAGGTTTTGTGACGGACGCCCTCCCGGCCGATATTTGCAAACCCTCTGTGACCAATCAGCATGGAGTCACGTGACCCACGATTCCCAAACAAAGACATTGTGTGTGTGTGTGTGTGTGTGTGTGTGTCTCCCCCCCTTTTCTGTTTTAAAAGTGTCTTTTTGCCTGCGTACACACTACACACATGAACACACACACACAGCTACCTGAGAGGGACTGACGATCAGACACAGCAGTGTGTGGGTACGTGTGCACTGTGTGGAAAAGACATTACCCACTGATGTGGGTGTGTGTTTAGCAGAGGATGAAGGTAGAAAAAGCTGGCATGGCTGTTTGTGTGTGTGTGTGTGTGTGTGTGTGTGTGTGTGTGTGTGTGTGTGTGTGTGTGTGTGTGTGTGTGCGCATGCGTGTCGCTTTAACCAAACAAAAGTACTGTAGCTCTTGGTTTCATAAAGACATGCAGTGCATACTGTGCACTAGATACTATATACAGCAAATTAGTGATCAATATTTTAAGCTGGTGTATGCTAAATAGTGACCTCATGGCTTTTGTTCATGGAACTACATAGTTATTTAGCATTTTTAATGTAATTTTGTTTTAAAAACTCTTGTTCTGAAAGTGCGATCAAATATGTTAAAAATCACAGTTAAGTTTCAAGTCAGTCAAGAAAAGGAATACCAAGTCATGCATTGCATTGCGGGACATAGTGTAGTAACCATACTTTGGCAAATGTAGTAGGTTATTTGTGTTATTCCATGCAACAACAAAAAAGCACTCTGCATACTTAAGTGGTAGTATGCTTTTGTGAACATAGAGTAAAAGATTAGCCATTAGAGTGAGATATAGATCTGTCTATGCTGGATGCTTTTTTTTCTTGCTTTTTTTAAACTCTTCCATATCTTTGAGTCACAGACTGATGCGTTTTCTTGCTTTTTTTTTAATGGCATTGATGGCCACTTTGTACTGAAAGGAATTTCACTAAATTCTTACACCATTATGCGACAGCAGGGTTCCTCTAACGGCGGTAAATTCAGGGGGTTCGTGAGTTGATGAAAAGCTAATAATTAAATCATAAAAATTAAATATAGATAGAAAGATATATATAGATATAAACTGTATATATTAAAGCAATAAGCCCCGCTCCGCGTCGTGCCTAACAACGCCTCTTAGCTGTTCTAAATTCACTGTAAAACACGGCTTCAAGGGGCTTATTGCTTTTATAAAACAGTTACATATCTATGTATTCATATCTATTTTATTCATAAAATAAACACCAGCAACAAAAAATATAACGTTATTATAAC